CCTCATGTGACCAGTGTTTAGTTCGTACGGTGGTGTTCACAGCGAAAGCAGCATAAACAGGACTTCTGAAAAATGTTAACAATTTTGTCTACCAGGTGATTGATCGGCACCGATGTATCACTGCTTGTCTCCTGGGCCTTCTTCAGGTTAGAGGTTGGTTGATTTCGCAAGTCTTTGTCGTTCGCAGCGGTTGTTGCGTTCAGATTCAAAATGGGTTCGGTTATATGACTGACCGTGTTTTATACTGGTTACAGTACTCGATGGGAATGTGGTTAACGGTCGACAGGCACTCTGTTTAAATTTACTTCTTTGCTGCTTAATTCTGTTATATACTTTATATTTTAGTCTAGGCTAAATACAGGTTTCTTTGTTGTAATTTATCAGGCAAGTAACTTTTTTCTTTCTGCATGAACATATCATCATGAACGCATTAACCAGCAGGTTTAATGAACTAACAATTAAGTGCTTATTCTTAGGCAATGCAACTTTATACTGGGAAGTGGAACTACTGAAGATCGAGCGCGAACCAGAGCTGTGATCAGAATCAGAACATTATATTAGAAGTAAATGGCAAAAGCCTAATGATTTGTTTCTCTTCACGTACAGTAAAATCTCTCACACAATGAAAATTTATTATATTGACGATTAACCACCAGTTACAGTTTTTCATGTCCTGCGGACGTATTAATGAACCGCCTTCTTTCTTTCGCATAATTGCCATAGGTCTCATGTCACATATAAATCACTAGTAAACGTAGGTGCCTCATTAATTATTTACAATCAGCTGTTTGTCATCTATCGATTATCTGGGAACTTTGTCCAGAAACGATTGGTATTGGTTGATATGAAGATTTGGGGGCCTCACCTTGAACTTACACACGGTATGCTGTGAAACTCAGATTAAGGACGAATTTGTACGAATTCCCTGTATGCGATACTTAAAATGTGAATAACTCTGCAGAGTCCACTTGATGATGCCGGTAAAACAGCGATCAGAAGGGATGATAAACACAACTCTAAAATTGTTGCTTAAATACAATGGAAAAGAACTGCAGGTTTTTACACATTTGACTTGGTCATACCACGGAGGCGTATGAATCTTGTAGGTGGCTTGCATCGCCTTCGTATTGATATTTAACGTGCTGGCCGATAAGTGGGAACGATACTTATAAGATACCGCTTTCAACAGTATCAAAATTTAAGAAAAAGACGATAAAAGATTTGAAGTCATTAATTTTACTCGTGTACATATTTGCAGTTTCATCCAATGGCACAACATACCACTGAGCAGTGCAATTTAAAACAGTTTATTTACTTTCAACAAAGCATTATTTCTTTCACTGCAAAGAGAAACAGACCTTATGACCAAAGACACCCATCTACCATCAAGTAGAAAAAAATACAGCATAAAAAAGATTATATAGCAAAAAAGCAGGGCAGAATTCGCGTTCATTTTCAGAAACAAACAATAACAGGAGCAATAAATTTAACAATATAGTGCTCAGCGAAAAAGCACCACTGCGCCAGTTCGATATTTGAAACCTGAAGATCGAATACGGCATCTGGGCTAAAGTCAGGGGGCGACAAATAGGTCCACCGAATAAAACAGAAGGACAGCTGATGCAGCCGTACTGAGATTAGCGTCGCAGTGTGAAGATTCATAGTGTGAGCGGTTTGGCAAGCTACTTAGCAGCCACCGACCTCGCCACGAAGAATTCGAATTCAATCAGGTACCAGCGCCATAGCGCTAAGTATGCATTCAGCGCGTCGCTGCGGTTGGAAACACCAGTTCCCATTTTATTTTGAAGTTTTCCCAAGCCCCGCAGGGTTTCAATTCCATGTGCCAAGAATCTGTCATAGTAGCAACAGGTAGCCTAATCCCCGTCGGTATCGACTTGATGGCGAACGACTGCGCCAGGAACATGCCCAACGAGTCCATGTTGGAGGATTCAACCTTTAAAGGTCGCATAACAACGGGCAGCTGATGCTTCAGAAGGTACTGTGGGGGAACAAACAACAAACGATCGACGACACCATTGTCTATTATGCAAAAAATGACTTTAAAAAGATATAACGAAAATCAACATAACAAATATGCATAACGCAATCACTGTTGTAAGTTGCAAGATGAAGAAGAGTCTATCACCAACAACAAAAAAATAAAATTGCTTAAGCATGACAAACAGTTGCTGTTGTCATTTAGTCGTCGTCCCTAAAGGCTAAACTTACAGAGCTTAAAAGGTAGCGAAATAGACTTATGATGTCTGATCTTCAGAAATGGCATCTCAGGCTAATAATATGCTATGTTAACTGCTGAAGCGAAGTTCATATACCTAGTCAGCAGCAGGTCTGCCTCAAACAGGTGTCTACATGTTTTGTACTGTCATTTAACGAGTGTAA